TCAAAACAATATTCCAGTTCGCACTACAGTTAATTCCGATATTATGTATAAGTAAATTGAAAAAAAGAATCCGTCATGGTCAAAAGTCATTTATTTTGCAGCAGACCAAATGAGAATAATTTATGTGATGGCTTTTAGAAGCGAGACTTGATGCCGTGGCGAATTTCTAGAAATGTGCGAAGACCGACTTCTGCTTCCAACCTGTTTAAATAAAAGGAAACGAGAATCCATCTATATCGTTCGAACCAAACACCCGCTGCTGTCGATGAAGTGGCACGAGTAAAATGTCAAGAACCTACTTGTTCTTGTATATTTACTCATTGATAACTATGTTAGTTGGATGCTACGCAATTATTATGCTAGTTCACTAATTACTAAAAAAAATAGGTGCGTCGTCCTAACTCCTAAGGTTTACTACTTTGTTTGAAGAAATTTCAGGTGATATAGGATAGGGCGGGGCACATAAGTCTAATTTGACTTTGAGCAATTAAATTTTTCTAACCAAACCAATTATATCACAACAACTGATACATAACAAACAAACAACTATCTGACCATGTTCATTAATACTTCCAGAAAAGTCATTGCCGTTTTTCAAAAGTTTGAAACCTGGTTACCCCAAAGGCGGGACAGCCAACAAGGGCTAATGTCTAATGTCTAAGTCCAATGTCTTATTTTTAATAAAAGGATTTTACGAAATAATAGCTACATCATTCAATAACAACTACATTATTCAACAAAGTATAAATTTCATGCGTACATTTTTTAAAGAGTTAGCACTGTATATAACCTTGATCTGGTATTTTGTCAGAAATATTCATCAGCAGAATTCGAATAACTATTTATTTAAATGATCTCTTGTAAAATAAAGCAATTTATTTTCTTTACTATTTTGCATTTGTTTCATTGGTCCATTCGCATAATTTGCAATTTAATTATTAAAAATCCAAAAGCACAAGATTGTTCTCGTGTTGTACTACATCCATCGTATTGGTGCAAATCTAATCTAATATCTAATATATTTTACATTTTGGACTCGTTCGTAGATAAGTGGTTAGAGCGACAGGATCTAGATTAAAGGTCTCGGGTTCGATATCCGTTTAGAGAAGTCTGATGTCAAGCAGAAGCGACATTGGTTTTCACGTGAAAATATAGATAGCAATATGTTTCTAATTGTAAGTGAAAATCTTCCTTCCAAACATTGTTGCATCCCTGCCAGATATTGCTGCATCAATAAAAAAATCAACACTAGTAGAAAAATATAAGTAAAATGTCAACAACAAACTTTTTAATATTTCTTAAAATAAGTGTTTTTTTTCACTTAAAAACAGAGGGAATATTTTGCTTTCTGTCACACTTTTGGATAGTCCGTCATGTAATGAACAATATTGATATCGTGTAGTAGTGATATTTACATTGCAGATTATTGAAAAAAATAAAGCAAACATTTATCTACTGTCATACTATTAAGTAGTCTGCTACTTACATATCTATTGTCATTATTACAAAAATGTAATAATAGAATTGGTCACATATATATGGGTAACTATTTGGGTTGCCATTTATAAAAGACGGATATAGTTTTTAAGTAATTCATCACAGAGCTATTCAAATAAATAAAAAGAATATTTAAATAAATATTTTATATTTTATTAGTAAAATATCAAACAAAATGACTCCATTCATTGTATGCTTCGTGCAACTACGCTTTTATTCGTTTGTCATTTAGACACAGCTGTTTTTCTCCTTAGCTAAAAGCTGAAAAACATTGTTTTTAAATGTTCTAGGAACTAAATATTTTTGGAAACTCAAGTTAAACTTAAAATCGCGAAATAGTATGTTCATGATAATATCTAAAAGTTCATAAATTACTAAAATTACACCTACAATTTTTCCTTTGAATTTGAAATATTGTGACCCTTATTGAATAAATACAAAACAGCCTAAAAGTTTTATAAGGTGATGGAACCTTTACATAGCCCTTTGAAATTTTCAAGAGAGACATCGACGATTTATTTTTATTTAGAAAATGAACACCTACGATTTTTGTAATGAACAAGATTTCTCCTTAAAACTCAATCTAACCATACAGTACGGTTCTCTAAAGACTTTGCAATCAATTCTGCATACGAAATAAAACTATTAGAATCGTTTTCCAATTAAATAACCACGTATATGTGTATTTACACAATTATTTTTTAATTTTCTTTCTGTTTCCACCTGCTAACAATCGTTCGAGTTGGACAAGCAAACTCGTTTTGTTTCGTTATTATACGCATAAAAATGTGCTCGTAATAACACCCGAGTATTGAAAATGATGCGTGAGATAAAAACTTTTTGCGGCAATTTGAGTTAATACAATTAGTACGTGAATTCGTCAAATTTCATTTCGCAAATGTTTTTTTTATGTCAGTTTTCATTCCATCTCTATGTCCGCGCATTTTTATCCGCGGAGTAAATGATGCACAGGGTCAAAAGTAATAAACTTTACAGCCAAAACCATTCAATTGAAATGTTAATGTATAATAATTGAGTGCTCTACTAGGAGGCAGGTCTATCAGGTAAATTAAACTCTAAACTGATTAGAATAGAAAAAATAGCAATTTAAATAATTTTTTCATGTGAAAATTGTTAACACTACTACCGGTGCCAATATTGACCAAAAGTGACTATAGCTGTGGAAATAGCAGACTTAAGTAGTGTAAAGAAAGTAGGTAAATGTATGCTCTATTTTTTAATAATATCTTATGTATAAATTGATATCACTACAACACGACACCAAAATTGTCCAGAAAGTGGCAGACTTCTTGGCATTGTGACAGTAGGTAAATGTTTGCTCTCTTCCTTTAATAATCTCTAATGTACAAATTGATATAATACTACGCCAGACTACTTAAAAGTATGACAGAAGTTTATGTTTGCTCTATTTTTTTAATAATCTCTAATGTACAAATTGATATGACTACTGCATGATACCAATATTGTTCTTGGAGTTTAACCTGCCCTAGTGCAGTACTAATTATTTTTCGTTAAGAAGTTCAAAAATGAGTACAAATAAATATTAGAAATCGAATAAAACTTTGAAAGTTAGTATTATTCACGTTCTGTATGTGGTTATGAGTTGTTGAAAGTCAAAGACATTATATATAATAAACGATTCTGGAATCTAAATATTCTGTCTATTTTTATTATAAGGAAAAATAGTTGGTACAAAAATAAACAAAAATAGTAATTTGTGAAAATAATGCACATGTATTATTTCATGTAAAATTAGTCCAAATAAACGAAAGTATATTAACATGTTTCGTGCTCCGTGCTTCGTCGTGAGTTGTCAATAACCAAAGTCCATAAATAATAAATAATTCTGGGGTTAAATCTTCCGTTCTGCGGTACTATTATTAATAGATTTTTGAAGTAGTCGGTGGTTTTCTGATAATGCAGGGTTTTCCTAATTGTCGACCGCAAAGACTCGACAACAAATGATGCGTCAGGTGTGGGTAAAGGGACACACGGGCCGGCGCAATCATAAATTATATCTTCTGTCAAATCGGAGAGTGATCATTTATTGCACATCAGACGTGTTTACATTTAGGAATGGACTGCGATGACGTGCATAAAAAACGGATATACCTTTTATCGGAACTATTAATTATTTAAACAATTCAATTTGTGGTCGGGGGATTCGGAACTAAAATTATACAAAGAAACTTGTACGCACACCTGTTCCGTTACCAACTGAGTTACCGTTTTTGGCACTTTTTGCCCCTTATCTTCGGAACGGCTAGACCTGCCAAGAACTAATCAGCAAGTCTCCTTATCAATACGAATCGAATGTTTTTTAAATTATCCAAATCAGTTGATCCGTGTTCCCGAAATCGTCGACGAAAATCCGCACACACACACATGCATCCATTTTTTCTAAGGTATGCCAAAATGTTCAGAAACCTTTGAAACATAAATTTATATAAAAATTTTCATTTTCGATTTTTTTGCGATTACTATAACTTGCCCTACGGGAAGTTAACAAATCTAATACTTGCCATTCGACGTCCAAGTTGCTCCAAAATATTTTAGAGTATTACATTAGTACAAATAAAAACGTACCAACTTTTCACTTACAGGTATTTTTAATAAAAAGAGTTAAGATAACATAAGCTTGATTCGATTATTATAATAAACTTAGTTCAAGACAATGTATTTTCTAACTCTTTGACTATTATAATTGAAAATTATGTCCACACGGTAAAATGTTGATGCGGTTTTCTAGCATTCATTTATGCAAAAATATTTTACGATTACAATTTTCGTCTTTTTCAACCGATTCAATTAGAAAACAGATAGATTCAATGATAAATCTGCAAAAAGCACTAGCCGTCAATAAAAGTTATCGTTTCCCAATGATCATTCCCAACATTCATAATATATCAATACCGCAATTCAATTTAAATTGAATGGGTGTTGAACGAAATTCATATTGTCCGCGTGATTGACAATACTTTATAATCTGCAATAATATTAAACACAATTCGAATCAATTTATTAATTATGCAGTGAAAACAATTATATCTGTGCGATCGACGCCGCTATTATGAAATGGAAATAAAATCGTGCTAATTCTAAAAAAATACTCACGCAATGTTAATAAAAGCTTTTAATGCCAGTTTAAATTGGGTGCATATCGGGATACTGAATCGTAAATTGTATTTTGAAATTATTTCAGAGAAAGCCTGCATATTTTACTACGTCAACTGAACGTTTTATTGTCCATGGTGTTAATGCCAGACATTTACTGAGATACCGAAATCGGTTTCAAATTAGAACTTAAGACAAAAATATAAGATTATATGATGATTATATAACAATTTCTGATTGGTAAACGCAGGAAGACCTTATCATTTTGATACTATTATATTATTCCCATTTTCCCAGAGTCATCGCCTATTTTTGCTACCAGCTTTTTTTAAATAACGCAAAGTAATTATTTAGAAATTACAACTCACCTGGATCGCTGGAATCGAGTCCTTGTGAGGGTGGTTGTTGTGAAAGAGGTCCTGGTGTTCCTCCTGATCCTGGTGATCTGACATCATCGTTTACGGCACCGCCGTACGATAATGAGGATGAGGGCGGCCGCTGAAAAAGTAAAAATTATTAAATAATTTATTTTGTATTTGTGAAGATAATAAATGAATTTAGTTCCATACCCATTACATCAACAACATTACAGTAGAGAAACCATGCCACGGGGTTTATATAAATCTATTTTCACTATAAATTTCGTAACTAACTATTTAAGTTGACAATAATTTGACGTAAGTTTTCCAATAATTTTTATTAATTTCCAAGGTCAAACGCCTCAATCACATGTATCCTGAGTCATTACATAAAAACTTAACAAAGGGTCAAATAGTTTTTCGTATAATTGAATTGTGATTAAAAAAAATAGAAGTCACGCTATAACGCCGTGAGCCGAGCGGTTACATGTACATAATTACGCAATGTTTGTTGTCCACAAAGAATTAAACGCTCTATTACGCAATTACAGACAATTAAGGCATATATATAATAGTCTTAGGTTTATTATTATTGCTTTTAATATTAATTACACAGCGCAGTTGAAAAGAATTTCTTATCATAGAAAAAAACGGTCTCCAGTTATTGATTTCTGACGAAGCAGTTGCAAATAGTGTTTACTCCTCGACACGATTATATTGAATCGATATTTTGTCAACTACAGATAAAATTGAGTAGATATTTTCAAGTGTCGATAGCTCTCATCTCAACATAAGGGCTTTGAATTGAAGGATTCTGCAATGTCGACAACTCTACAAAAGATATATTTTGAAGATCATCTAGAATTCTTTCCGGTTTTGCAAGTGCACAACCTTTAAAAAGGTTATTTGTATCCGTTAATCATGCGAACAGTTGCACCTGTATGTTTTTCTATTCCCGTTGTCATCAGTTCGTGATTAGTCAGTCGTATTTATTGATTTTCACTCACTTTATTGGTACGATATCACTTTTGCATTATCTTTCATCGATTGCTGTATTTGCACGATTAGCAAATAATTGAAATTCCAGTTTCGATTTTTATAAACAGAAATAATAATGGGTAGTGCTGTCCTAGGACAGGTCCGTGTGCTGAGTTAAACTCTAACTCGATTGATAAACAGATAATACTTGAACTTTGCAACCACAAGATTACGATTTCAAATCTCGCGTTGCGTGCAAATTAATTACATTCGGAAATAGAGTGACCCTCCCAAGAGGTATTAAAAAGTTAAAATATAGCCACCATTCCAACAGCCACTAAATATAATCATCACAGTAGCATAAAATACCAAAATTCTGATTCAATAAGATGGTCTCCTGCATCCAAAATCGATTAATCGATATACCATTGACGTTTGCCATACATCTCTAAATCTGCATGTTATATCTACTACCGTCTCCGATATCACGTATTTAAAACACTCAACTTCTACGAAACGAATTACAAATCAATCTGTATATACAAACGGCGATGTGATCGATAAATACAAGCATCGCGAACAATAATAACATTAAACATGTTTACGACATGTTGTAATAACTCTTTCTCATTTCACCGTGGGTAAATATCGGATGACTGCATCGAGCCAGAACATTCCCGTGTGTCCATTACATTGGACAAATTTTGAACCATTAATAGAAAGATCAAGTAGATATTGTAATAGGAATTATCTACTTTGGATAAACCCATGGTAAAAATTTCTTCTTTTGACTCGTTTCCAGTGCATTCGTCAGCATATCCATAACGGGTTGGGCTTCTAAAAAGGCGCGAATCACTTCGCTTTATGCAGTAAGTTCGCGGGTCCCTTGAGAAAAAAAGCGGAATATGTGTATGTTTGCAATAACGGCATCGTGGTGTCTAATACATAATAAAAATTTCCAAGTTTGTAAGAGCATAGAGGATGTCGGGGGTAAATGTAACTTGTGGAGAAGTCAAAAGAACAAGGTAGTTGATATCCAACCTTCTTCAAAATTTACCTGATCCTTGAAATATTTATATTGGCAAATAGATTTCTATTGGGTGATAGACAATTTATAAATTTATTTACGAGTTTTTTGCGATGACTTGACAATTCATCTAATTTTTCGGAAGGAACCAAACAAACCTTATGGATGTTCATTCGAAACATGAAGAAATTTGGAATAATTTGGTATGATTTATAAGAGAGACGTTTCGTCGATTCTCCGATCTCCCTTAAATATACAACAGAAGCCGTTCGTCAGAGACACCCTTTGGGGCCTGCCGGCAACCCCGACGAATACACAAAGTGAAGTGTCATGTCAGCCGTCACTGCAAAATGCCGGAGTGCCGTGCCCTTGGGGATTTGGCCCGCAAAGCCGACACGACAAATACTGAAACAACCAGTAAATGCGAAACGGATAGTCGGAGGGCCCAGGGGATGAAATAATCGAGAATCCGGACGCAGAACGGGATTACAGGTGAACTAGATCGAAATTTAACAGATTTGAAATAAAAGGGTGAAGAACAACTTATAAAACAATACCTGGCATCTTAAAATCATAAAGGAATATTTGATTCAATTCACTAACTTAATTAAAATATAATAAAATAAATAATTATTTACAAACATCAAATATTTCATTAATATTTTCACCCTATTTATGCTAATATTATGAAAATTATCAATAAATGTTAACAATTAATGATAAATGTATTATTGAGGATTTTTAGCAAAGTGTAAAATTGGTAAGTGCTTCTAGATACCACGGCTATTTTGTAAATACATTCCAGATATGGCACTGCCAATTAGAACCTGATTAGAAGTGAATAAAATTGCCATCATACGAAAGCAACTACAAGAATACCAGAGGAACTGGAAGAATTCTAAAGCTACTAAAACAATACCAGGTATCAAGTATCTATAGTTTAAGGCAATACAATTTTCAATAAATTGATTAGCAACGTCACAAATTTACATTACTGAAGTCAAAATTGGATAAAGATACAAGAATACCAGAGGAACTGGAAGAATTCTAAAGCTACTAAAACAATACCAGGTATCAAGTATCTATAGTTTAAGGCAATACAATTTTCAATAAATTGATTAGCAACGTCACAAATTTACATTACTGAAGTCAAAATTGGATAAAGTGGATGGCAAAACCAAATGATGAAATCGATCAAATTTGGTTCAGCAGATTCAAAATTAATTTTATTTTATGGAATAAATCATCTGAGCATTAGCACTCAATGCAAGATATTTTAAGACATTAAGTAACCTTTTGGTAGAATAGCAAAGGAAATTTCGATCTCCTCTCTCTCTTGGTTAAATTACTTTGAAATTTAGATAGTAAGTCATACTATCGCAGGATGAGGAAAACTACTGATTGCCTGAGTTTTTTTAGCACTCAATGCAAGATATTTTAGAAAACATTGAGCAACCTTTTTGTAGAATAGAAAATGAAATTTCGATTTCTTCTTTCTCTTGGTTAAATTACTTTGGAATTCAGATAAAAAGTCATACTGTCGCAGGATGAGAAAAACTACTGATTGCCTAAGTTTTTTTAAAAAAAATAGCATATTGGTTTAAGATTATTTTAATTCTTATGCAAAATAAAGCGTGTATAACCAAGCATTAATTAACCATATAATTTTGGATCTGGGTTTTAACATTTACTGTGATTTTTACCTAAATTTCCTCATTTTTGGCTTTCAACAAATTTCCATTTGCTACGCAAAAATTTACCCAAACCCCCTAAGCGTTCCGTCTAATTCGTATAGAAGTAAACACATTTGCTACCAGGCGTTTCTATATATAGAATCACGTTGATTTACGTTAGCGATACACTAACGTTCCGCTCCATCACCTATTCCATATAAAAATTATTTTTACAAGAGAATTCGCACTTTAGTTATCGCAGGGGATAATGAAAGACATCGAAAAACACTTAATAACATCGAAATTATCACTATGCGAACTTCTGGTAAACTTTTAGTGATCCTAATTGGTTTAAGTAAAGTAAACATTTCTTTAACGTCAAGAAGATTTAATTTAAAATATACATAAGTGGATTTATGATTATTTCATTTTTTAATTAGAATTTATACAAACTACAAAAAAATTGAATGTTAAACTCGATAACGAAAGAATCTACTGAGTATGAACTATTACTAAAAATAATTTTTGCAAAGGAAAAATATACTGTAAAGATCTAATTTGTATTTCAAGTCATCTTCCTGTTAGACTGCTTAAAGCGAAAAATTAATGTACCGAGTAAGATTATGTTCTGAAATTTTAACAATTTTAATAATAAAGAATCTAATGCAATAAGTATATAATCTCCTTGCAAGGACAGTTTGTCTGGTTTGTATTATTTACTACTAATTTATATTTTAATAAATTCCAATGTGTGTGGCTACAATATCGGTTCTGTAGCACACATGTCGTAAGGAATCCCCAAAAAAAAAACAAAAAATAGTCCCAATATCTGGCAACACTGTAGACAAAAAGTCGACTTCTAAACGAGTCCATGGGTCCATGTAACGAACAGAACACTGAAAAGGAATATGTTGTCTATTTATTGTGGCACAGCATTAAGACCCTTATACCATTAAAAATTCTATATGAGAGTAGGGATGTAAAAAATTAGAGAAATGTCGATTTTAAATTGACACAGTTTATATTTTGCACTTTAAATCGCTTTGCTTTATTTGATAGATCCATGGCTTGTCAATCACTCATAAATATTCAGAATATAAACAAATAATTAGTATTCTGAAAAAAAAAACTATTATGGAATATTTTTATGGTTGTCTTTCATTTTTAGTTAATTTTCCACCTATATTGTGAATTTTCTATACAACCAGTAAGTTGATACATATTTGGAAAACATCATAGAACCTCAAACAAAAATAATATATTTTGAAGAGAAAAAATAGTATTCGCGTTTCATTTATATTAAGTACTGATGTATGTAATTTAAATGTTGTAATGTATGAACTGAGCTTCATATATTATTAGAAATGTCGAAAAGGTAATAAAATTTTGATTTTAATTTTAATAAAAATAATGAATCTAAAATGTCATGTTGAATAGAACAGCCTTACTTTAATATTTAAA